CCCAGGCGGGTCTCAAACCCGCGGGCTCAGGCAATTCATTCACCTCAGCCTCCCAAAGGCACAGGATTACAGGCTGAGCCACTGAGCCTGGCTTCAAAGAGTTTTTGAAGGGAAGAAAGTTGCTCAAAATCATATGAATTTAGAACTTCTGGAGGGAATTCTGCTTCACCACCAATCCTGGGACTTTATAATCCCTGAGAGAATTTTCTGGAGATGTGCTTCCCAAAGAACTGGACATAATGAAAATCAGTTGAAAGGACAAGCTCAGTAAAACTGCAGTGTGCGGTGGTGAATGCCTGAAATCCTAGCTACTCAGGAGGCTGAGGTGGGAGGATCGCTTGAGGCCAGGAGTTTGAGGCTATAGCACGCTATGATTGTGCCTGTGAATAGCCACTGCACTCCAGCCTGCTGGGTAACATAGAAAAATCTCATCTCCAAAATAAATACATAAAACGGGCTCGGTGGCTCAGCTTGTAATCCCGCGCCTTGGGAGGCTGAGGTGAGTGGATTGCCTGAGTCCGCGGGTTCGAGGCCCGCCTGGGCAACTTGGTGAGACCTTATCTCTACCATAAATCAAAAAATTAGCTGGGTGTGGCAGCGCACTCCTGTAGTTCTAGCCACTTGGAAGCCTGAGGTGGAAGGATCTCCGGAGCCCAACAGGTCGAGGCTGCGGTGGCCGGGAGTGGCCACTGCACTCCAGTCTGGGCGACAGAGTGAGACTCCAACTCAAAAAAAAAAAAAAAAGGCTGGGCGCAGTGGTTCACGTGTGTAATGCTAGCACTTCAGGAGGCTGGGGCCGGAGGATTGCTTTAGCCCAGGAGTTCTAGACCAGCCTAGGCAACATAGCGAGACCTCGTCTCTACAAATAATAATAATAATAATAATTAGTTGGGCATTGTGGTGTGTACCTGTAACAGTCCCAGATAGTTGGGAGGCTGAGGCAGAAGGATTGCCTGAGCCCAAGAGGTCGAGGCTGCAGTGAGCTGTGATCATGCCACTGCACTCCAGCCTGGGCAACAGAGTGTGACCCCAACTCAAAAAATAAATAAGTAAAAATAAAAATAGGAAAACTAGGAAGAATCTTTCAACTAGGAGGTGAGATGTGTCCCTCAAAAGTGTGGGTGGCTCAACACTGCCTATTGGAGAGAGTCCTGAATTGAGAGTTGAAGACCTAGCTATTTAGCTGTGTGACCTTGAGCAATGCAGAGCTTCTCTGGACCTCAGTTTTATCATTTGTAAAAAAAAAAAAAAAAAAAAGTGGGGTATATCTCTACCCAACTGAGTTCTTTGAAGGCAAGGGCTGTGTCTGATTCATGGTGAGTTTTAGTACATTCTAGGCCTCCAAATTACTGAATGAGTGAGCACTCAACAACTCTCTTGGAGCTGGGACTGTGGAGGTCGTAGTTCCAACGGGGGTTTTCAAGAAGGGCACAGAGCTGACTTTTTTCCCTCTTATTTTTTTCTACACTATCTCCAAGTATACCTGGGGAAAAATATGAAAAAATATAAAGTGCTTTTAGTTTTCTTAATAACTTTCCTTTTGATCTTATATAGCATTCACAACGTGCTAGACACTGTAGTAAGAGTTTTACAAATATTAACTCATGTAATACAGCCATCACAGGAATAGGGAGTATTGTCATGCCTATTATACAGATGATAAAATTGAGGGAGGAAGGGTGATAAGGCCCTTACCCAGGTCATGTAGTTAATAACTGGGGAGCTGGGATTAGGACTTCATCAGTTCAGCTCTAGACTCCACCCTGTTATTAATTTGTTAAGATTAAAAGTTTTAATGATAATAGTTAACATTTCAGAGTATTAAAATGGGGAATCTTAGAGCAGAATTGAAATCTCTAAATTTAAAGCTTAACTGTAAAATCACAAGTGATTAAGTTGGAAATAAACCATGAGACATACATTCAGTTCTGTTTGCATTAACATCACTATTAACCAGAGCAATGCTAGTGAGGACTCATTTTTAAAGCAATACTGACTTTTCTTTTCTTTTTTGAGTTGGAGTCTCACTCTGTCACCCAGACTGGAGTGCAGTGGCTGCTCCCGGCCACCGCAGCCTCAACCTGCTGGGCTCTAGTGATCCTTCCACCTCAGCCTTCCAAGTAGCTGGTACTACAGACGTGTGCTACCACACCCGGCTAATTTTTTTTATTTATTTTAGAGATGAGGTCTCGCCAAGTTGCCCAGGTGAGTCTCAAACCCGCGGACTCAGGCAATTCACTCACCTCAGCCTCCCAAAGCGCAGGATTACAGGCTAAGCCACCGAGCCTGGTCTTATTTTCTTATTGTATGCAAATATAAAGTCTATGGACAGATTATCTTCATATCTTAGGGTGTAAAATAACCATACATTAATTTATGTTACAGTCAAGTAGTTTAAAATGGTTGTCCTTGCTCTGGTGAAATATATATCACTAAGTTAAAATAGATGGAAGTTCAAGGCCATGGCTGCAGGCTTTCTGGCAAAGGTTCTGTTGCTTTGCTACAAGTGGAGATGCCATGCCTCAGCTCTGTGGTGTTGGTCTGAGAAGATCCTTGAGGTCTGTGGCTTTGAACCAAGTGTGAGTTGTGTTGTTCCAGCAGCTCTGTTCTGGCTACTCAGACTGACTCTGAACCTTCATTGCAAATCAGTCTCTATTTCTTAAATGGCTGCTGCAGTACTCTTCGAATGTCTAGCTGGGACTGTTTAATTCATTCTGTCAACATTTGCTGGGGACAGATTAGGCTACAGGGACACAAGAGTGAGCAAAACTCAGTTCCTGCTCTTGCATTTACAAATAAATGGGCAGACAAATATATTTGAGTCTTCTAAGACTTTTAGAATTTCTGTCTTAGAGCCAGGAGTGCAAATAAAGGCCTAGACTAGGTTATTCTCTAAAGAAGTCGGTAACCTTGGTGGTGGCGGCCAGAATGATAGGCCCAAAAGCAAAGAAGAAATGAAAATGATTGAAAGGACACAACCATAAAGGAGTGGAAGAGGCTATGTGTTTAGAATAGAGACCAGAGTATGGGTTTGCAAATAGTGTGGATTCAGACTGTGAGAACACTATTGACTGCCTGAAGGGAAGAGGTGATTTGGAAGCAATAGTGTCAAAGTTACAGAATGAGATAGGAGTCCCTGCTTAATCACCCATCAGTATATGGCTCGGGGCAAATTACTTAACCTTTCCAAACCTCAATGTCCTCATCCATAGAATGAGGACAAAACAACATACACATGTAAAGAAAGAACTCAGCACCTAATAAGTTATCTAAATGAGTTAGTTGTTACTATTGTTAGGGAAAAGACCTTGCTACTCTAGTAACCCTAAGGGCAGATGGGAATACCAAGGCTTGGATTGGAGGTAGAAGCAAAGGGAGCCAGCAGGAAACAGGTTGCCTCTTTCGGGCCTTTGCTTGAGGCTCTCTCCAAATGAAGCTGAAGGATGTGGCAGCTCTAAGAGCCTGAAGGGGAACCAGGGGACAACCAGAATGCCTAAGAGTGCCCTCATGTAAATCAGCTGTAGTCAGACTGCTTCTCACCCTGTGAACTGCCCTGTATAAATGTACTGCCATGTATAAATAATAGACGTGTAATCTGGAAGGATAAATATCAATTTTAACATTGGGAACCCATGGGATTGGATAGGTGTGTGTGTCTGTGTGTGTATTTGGGAAGTTGCATTTTATTACTTTGTGCCTTTTTATTGTTTGATTTTTTTTTCATGAGAATGCATGCATGCGTTGAATTAAAAAATAATAATCTGATTTCAAAATAAGAAGTAGTAGTAAAGAAAGTACCTGTAGAAACTGATTGCGATCCAAGTCCTAGCTCCCTGATGCCTGGATGAAGCCCTGGTCCACAAAGGGATCACTGGATTAAAGATCCTGGAGAAAAAAGGATAGGAAAGGTTTGGTGTCCGTCTGCTAGTCCCACAAGGATAAGGCACCTGCCAGACAGTTCCCAGCTTAGTGGGAACTGCTTCTTTTGTCCAGGCACGCAATTCAGGGCTGGAAAAGTTCAACAAGTGCATGGAACGTCAGAGACCTTCTGGAAATGCTGAATTTGTTCCGAGATATCCTGAGGCCCAGTGAATTTCCCTAGGCAGCCTCGAGGCTCAGGAGCCCAACCCAGCCCATGGTGCCCTCTCAGTCCTGTCCTTCTTGCCTTCAGCAGCCGTCTCTCTTACAGAGTTGTGGCCCTTCCCAGGCCTGCGTCCCAGCCCCGCCCCTCTCTCTGGACGCATCTCTGGGCCCCATCATCACCCGGCGCCGGGCCCTCCCTCCTGCCCCCCCCTTCTCCTCCCTCCTTCCTTCCCTCCCTTCCTCCCTCTCTCCCTCCCTCCCAGCTCCTGCACCAGGAAACGGTCCGGATCCCGGCAGCGGCCTGACCCGTGAGATCCCTAACCTGGCAGGCAGGAGGGGTTGGAGACTGGCTGAGGTGGGGCTAAGGGAGGAGCTGGGCTTTTGGGCTACACTGTGGGGAGCCGGGGTAGAGATGGTGTCGGCAGGAAGCCCTTGGCCCTGGGTTTCCCGGGAGGACAGTCATTAAACATGGATTCGGCCACACAGCTGGTAGAGCGTTGGGGGCAGGAGTCCAGGCCCAGGAGCTGCAACCCCAGCCCTTCCCAGGCCAGACCCTGATCCCTAGCCTTCCCTGCCTAGTTCTGATCTCCCTCTCCCCTTCCCAGGGCTCCACGCTGGCCGGGAGGATGAAAGGCCCCAGCTGGGGGCTCCTTGCCACCAGCGCTGGGTCCTAAGAGCTGCCATCCAGGCTGGGTGAGTGTCCCTTTCCTTTTCCTGAGTGTCCCAGACAAACCTTTGCTTCTCCCACCTTTCCCTTTAACCCTGATCTCCTCCCTGTTTTGTGCGTCTGCCAACATCTTCACTTCTTGCTTTTAGGGAGGTCCTAAGCCCCTTCCTTAGCCAAGAAAGTGTGGGCTGTGGTCGGGGAGGTTTGTAGGGGCATCATAGAACTGGTGTCGTTATGAAAAGAATCTAAGGTGTTTTAAATATAACATTTACTTGTTTTACATTTAATTAGGCATATTATGAATTTAATGGCCGGTCCCTCATGCCCTGGCCCTACTCCATGACTCAGTTCCCTTGTTCTTGTCTCTCCCTGCCCAGTGGTCTCTGAGGATTTCCTGTCCCCTCCCTGTGTCACTGGGTTGGCCAAACCAGAAGTGCCCCTTCTGAGTCTCTGTCATATATTCCACATTTTCACGCCACTCTTTCATCCTTGCCTCTTACAGCCGCCCGGATGGCGACCCCAGCCTCAGCCCCAGACACACGGGCTCTGGTGGCAGACTTTGTAGGCTATAAGCTGAGGCAGAAGGGTTATGTCTGTGGAGCCGGCCCTGGGGAGGGCCCAGCAGCCGACCCGCTGCACCAAGCCATGCGGGCAGCTGGAGATGAGTTCGAGACCCGCTTCCGGCGCACGTTCTCTGATCTGGCGGCTCAGCTGCATGTGACCCCAGGCTCAGCCCAGCAACGCTTCACCCAGGTCTCTGATGAACTTTTCCAAGGGGGCCCCAACTGGGGCCGCCTTGTGGCCTTCTTTGTCTTTGGGGCTGCACTCTGTGCTGAAAGTGTCAACAAGGAGATGGAGCCACTGGTGGGACAAGTGCAGGAGTGGATGGTGGCCTACCTGGAGACGCGGCTGGCCGACTGGATCCACAGCAGTGGGGGCTGGGTAAGAAGCTTCTCAGTTGCTGCTGTGCACGTCCTCCGCGAAGCTGGTCTCAAGGGGGAAGATGAGGGCTCTGATCGGAGGCTGGGGCAGCCTTGTTGGGAACGAGGCCTGGGGGTTGAGTCTGTTTGGGTGGAATCAGACTGGGAGATGCTTCACTGTGGGCGTCATACTGGACTCTGCACTCCAGGGCTGCCATGCAGTCATCACTGGATGGGCTCATGGTCCCAAGCAGAGGACAGAATACACAGTACCCAAACAGTGCCTGTGGGGAATGGTGCCAGGAACTTTTTACACCTGAGTACATGGCATGGGAGGTGGGGTGGATCAGGGATGGGTGGTGGTCAGGCAAGCCTTGGCAAAGGATGCCCGTTCTGAGCAGAACTTTTCGCCAAGGAAAGGATGGGGTTCATGTGAGGAAGAGAGGACAAGTGAACCAGGCGCTCAGGGTGGGGGGGGCTGCACCTGGGGGGACCAGAGGGGCTTGCAGCCAGTAGAGCTTTGGCCAGAGAGGAGCTGGGTGTGGGCTAGTGCTTGCAGTGGATGGAACTGGAACTCTTCCTCTCCTCTTCTCTCCACTCCTTCCTCTCCTGATATCCCTTTCTCCCTCTTTCTCTCCTACTTCCCTTCTCTCCCACAGGCGGAGTTCACAGCTCTATACGGGGACGGGGCCCTGGAGGAGGCGCGGCGTCTGCGGGAGGGGAACTGGGCATCAGTGAGGACAGTGCTGACGGGAGCCGTGGCACTGGGGGCCCTGGTAACTGTAGGGGCCTTTTTTGCTAGCAAGTGAGAAAGTCCAGGGCCAGGTGGGGTTAGGTGAGGCTGGGGGTCAGGAGAGCAGGAACAGAACAGAGAAATGCCCTCAGAAGAAGTGGAGGGAATGGATGGGAAGGTGTGGAACAGGAAGGGGCAGGGACAGGGTAGTGTGTGAGGGAGCTGAGCATGCCAGGCTGGCGGTTGGAAGAGTGAACAAGGGATACTAGGGAAGCTTTTTGGAAGGTCGGGGGGGCAGGAGATGGAGTCCTTCCAGGGTTGGGGGGAGGTGGGAGGGATATTGCCTATAGGTGTGGGCACAGGGAACTATCTGGAGCTTGGTTGGGCGCCCTGAGGAAAGTGGACTTGCATAGGGGGCTGCGTCTCCATTTGATGAGTGAGATTTGGGGAACACAGAAGGCACACTCCTTTGGAATGGAAGCTTGGGGTTCTCAAGTGATAGGGAGAGGTGGCTGTGACAGTGTGCTGCTTGGACACGTGTGTGCATGTGCACGTGTGCATGCTGGGTGCTTGGCTAATGAGATGTTGGTGGGATTCCTTAAGAAGAAAACATTCCCTCTTGCAATGGCAAGTACAAGGGGCAGTTCTCTGCCCCTCTTCCCAACCCCTCCATTCATTCCCCCTCCCTTTGTCCTGATGCCTCAAGGCTGAGAAAGAAACACTGTAGCCAGACCTAGCTCTGGAGTGTCTCTGCAGAAAGTTTCTAGCAGGGCTTTGGAGAGCCGAGCAGTTATGCAGCTGGCCTCGTTCCTCCATCATCCCCCCACCTTGTGCATCTCGCACTTGCTGCTGCCTCCTGGGCTCTGACAGAAGGATAGAGCTGTTGAGCCCGGGTGGGTGGAGGCCTAGGTAGTTGGACCTGCCTGCCATTCTCCTGACCTACGGGGCACGTTGGCGTCTAAAGTGTTCCCTATCTCTGGGACCTCTGTACTCAAACTTAAACTCCAAATTGGGGCCCTAACTAATTTTCCTTTTGAGGGTGTGGACATAAATGCCAATCCAGAATACAGTCTGGGTCCTGAACCGTGTCTCGGTGAGACTGTCGATGCTTTGAGAGGACTGTTCCAGCTTGAACCCCATGGATGTGAGGGTGATGGGTACTCTGGGACTGGCCTATGCCGTGTGACGGGCTTTGGTGTTGCTTTATCAGGGGTCAGGTATATGGGTTCTAGAGTACCTACCAGGACCTAGAGGCACTTATGTTTTCTTTGAAGCCACACAGTTTGCATGGGTGTTATTTATCTGTACCTCAGAGTCTGAGGTGTTACCTGTAGAACTCACAGTCCTCTAGAACAGATTCAGATGATAGCTTTTTCTTTTGAGGAAGAAATGATTCACTCCAGATGCATGCCCTGAGCCAGACCTCACTGCTGCACTTTCCAAGGTGCTAAAATTGCTGCTCTCCAATGCTGACTTTCAGACACAGTGCTCTAGAACCCCGCCTGTGATCTTGAGCACTGATCAGCTTAGCTAGACCATGGTTGACTCCTCTTGGAGATTTTCACTTGGTCCCAGAATGTGGCAACATAGTTGTGCTCTCTAGAATGTGGGACCAAATTGGCCTCAGGTGTTTAGTCCAGACTTTTGCTTTTGAGAGAGGGCTGCACTTTTTAAATGGTATTTATAGGGGAGGCGGTAGACTGCATGTGCCACTTGGTTTGTTGTGAGTATGCTGATACCAGAAACTCAGAGCTAGTCTGTGGCAAGCAGTTGGGGTGGGGGGGTCTCTGACTTGCTCAGGACAAACTAGGCCAGTGGTTTTCAAACTGCTGGGCAGAGCCCTGAAGTTTCCTAGGGGTTACCTCAGGAGTTCTTGGGGAGATGAAGGGAGTGGGGGATTGAGCAGGCTGGGCAACTTGCCCTCAAACAGAATAGCTCCCCTAGTAGCTGTCTTACATATCGGGGTTCAGGGTAAGATTTTATTGCATTAAGGGTTTGCTGCTGAAAAATGTTGGAAAACCACTGACTAGACCATCAGCTCCAAATTGGAGCCTGTGCTTCCCCAGGTTTGGGGCAGACTCTGCATACCCTACCCTCTATCACAGGACGCCTATCCCTGTTAGCATTCCTGGGGGCCTTTAGCAAACAGGGGTGGCAGGGACCATGGCCAGGTTACTGAAATGCCCTGCTCTGAGGCCTTCACACCTGGGTGGAAGGAGAGGCTGTTTTCCGAAAGGGTAGAGGGCTTGGTCTGGATTCCCAGAAGCATAGCTTGGATGGGACCACAGTGGGCAGTTTTGACCTGTCCTGCCCTTCTTAGCTTGAGGGGCAATGGAACCCCCAGAGACTCTTCTGTCAGGGAAAATTAGGGACTCTCTTCTAGAGCCATATAGTTCCTTGGGATTAGCTCTTGGCCAAGAAGGCTGAGTATGGCTCCCAATTTTAAAATCCATTTCATTTTTTTAAAAAATAAGGGAAATAAATGTAATTGCCATTTTTCAAAGATTTAAATAGGTGGAGAGGGGCTTCTTGCTCTCCAGAGCCCAAAGAGACAAATAGGGACTTTGCTTAGGCCAAGGAAGGAGCGGAAGTAGGGCAACTCGGTCCTGCGACTATTAATCCCACTCCCCACTTATTCTAGGGCATACATACACTATTTTACTTTTTTAAAATCATAAAATGGCAGAACAGATTTGGTTAGTTTAGAAGAAAAGAAAATCTCTATAAATATAAATATATATTCCTGTATTTTTATTTAATAATTTATAAATACCAAGTTCATTTGACTTTTATTTTTGTGTAATATGTAATTGTCGTATTAAAAAAATAAATAAAGCCCAGAAGTTTAATGAGAAGGACTGAACAGGGTTTGTGACTTCTACACTGTATAGCCTGGGGTCAGGATATTCTTTGATCCAATCATCTCTTCATAACCTTGTTAAAGGCAAAACTTAGAGTAACAGGGATTTGGGAAAGTGTTGGAATAATTAAAAGAAAAAACACACAGTTGTTCCACCGTCCTCCTCACCCTACTCCCATGCTGGCCAAATGTCCAAAGCCAAGAACTCCATCTATCCCAGCTGAAGCCTCAAGAAGGTGTGTATATATGGTACTTTGGGACTGTCACAAACAAAAACCAAACCAAAACAAAGAAAACTTCCCAAAAATCTTTGTGTGATGATAATCAAGTTCCCAGTTGTGGTTTAGCCTCTAATCAGAAACATGTGATAATAAGCGTTTTCCCATGATGCCCTGCTGCCTACTGTACACTTACAATAGGTCTGGCAAAAGTGGAACCCCTGCTTCCTTGCCTAGTCTCCTGAGACATTTTACTGGAATCTCCAGGAATATTCAGCCTACCCCTCTGTGCCTCTAGTATAGGACTACATCAAAACCATGTCTGACAGGAATTGCGATCCTAATTTTAAATTTCAAGTGTGAATTTCTAGTCTTCCTATAACCTGGTGCAATAAATTGGTATTTGGGTTTATATGTTAAATTGTGAGAAATAGAATTGCTTAGAGGAATCCAGTGTTTCCATTCTCTATACAAAAATCTACAGGGAAGCCATATTAAAATCAGAAAGTGGCTTGGTGAAAACGACACTAAGGGAAAGGGAATTAGATGCTCTTAATAGTTAATATCATCTGGTATGATAACTAGTGCATTCATCCCCACTGCAGTGTGATTGATTTATATTTCTCTAGTTCCAAAAAGCATTGCAACATCTTACAAGAATAGGAAAATAGGAATTTTTAAGGGTGGGCAAAGGGAAAATGAAATATTACAGGAAGATGACAGCAAAAGGAAAATTAATGCACAGAAAAGCATTCTATAAGTAATATTCCCAAATACTAAAGGTAGGCTTTAATTCAGTTCTGAGCTACTTGGCAGCTAAAGCAAATTGAAAAATGATGAAATTAACATCCCTCTTAGGATTCATAAAAGAAGGGCAAAAAGAAGAAATTTTTATGATTTACTCAAGAAGGACCAAAAAATAAAGTTTTGTGGTTTTTCCTAGAAGATAGTAATATCGTGATAACCATCCTCTGGGATACATAACAGTGGCCACCATCCTCTGTGACACCTAGCATAGTATGATGTTTAGTTTTGTTCTTCTAGGAACACCAAATGGAGATTCAGAAAGTCCTAACCTTGTACCAACAGGCTCATCACAACTTAGTCAAATATGCTGCTCTGTGGACGGTTTAATATATGGCTAAAATTTAGATTATATAAAGGGACAGATGAATTGTGTTTCCTTCAGACAGTTCTCCACAAATATTATTTCTTCAAATGACATTTTTTATAAAGTTAGACAGCATTTGGTTACAATTTCTAGCAAATTGATAGACTGTATATAATCTGTGTTTTTACTTAATTGCAGATCCTTTGAAAACTTTAAAATCTGCCTTAAATGTGGATACAGGAGAGATATAAAAATGAATTATTTAAAAACTCAACCAGAAAACAATATGATGGAATGCTACGTAGTTGTTTATTCATTCAATCATTCATTTATGCAGCAAACATTCAGGCATTGTCTGTGTGCTAAGCAGTTCTAGGCAGTGAGGTAAATGGACAGAAACAAATCTCTGTTCTCATGTTGCTTATGTTCTAGTAGGGGGAACAAACAATAAGTTTCATGATATGTTAGAAGGTGATAAATACTATGAAGAAAAATTATTCATTGAAGGGGATATACATATATATATTTCAATTTTATTATTTTATTTTATTTTATTTTTTTGAGTTGGAGTCTCACTCTGTCACTCAGACTGGAGTGCAGTGGCCGCTCCCGGCCACCGCAGCCTCGACCTGCTGGGCTCCGAGATCCTTCCGCCTCAGCCTTCCAAGTAGCTGGAACTACAGGCGCGCACTACCACGCCCAGCTAATTTTTGATTTATTGTAGAGATGAGGTCTCGTCAGGTTGCCCAGGCGGGTCTCGAACCTGCGGGCTGAGGCAATCCACCCACCTCGGCCTCCCAAAGTGTTGGGATTACAGGCTGAGCCACCAAGCCCGGCCTCAATTTTAAATTGAGTGGTCAGGGAAGGCCTCATTAATAAGATGACTTTTGGGTAAAATATGACAAAAAAATTTGGAAAAATATATTTATGACATGGAAAGATGTTTCTCTATTTTACTGGGTAAAAAATAAAGTAGATTAGAAAATAAAATAATACAGTATAATCCCATGTTGCTAAGCTATATATATGTGTGTTCCTCTATATTTGTATACTGAAAATTTCAGAAAGCATGTATGCCAAAATATCAATAGTGATTATCTCTGGGTGTTAGATTTTATGGGTGATTTTATTTTCTTCTTTTTGCCACAGTATTTTCTGATTTTTTTTTTTTTGAGTTGGAGTCTCACTCTGTCGCCCAGGTTGGAGTGCAGTGGCACGCTCACGGCCACCCCAGCATCAACCTGCTGGGCTCAGGCAATCCTTCTGCCTCAGCCTTCAAGTAACTGGAACTACAGGGGCCCACCGCCATGCTCAGATATTTATTTATTTGCTTGTTTGTTTGTTTGTTCGCCAAATTGCCCAGGCTGGTCTTGAACACCTGGGCTCAGGCAATCCTCTCACCTCCGTCTCCCAAAGTGCTGGGATTACAGGCGTGAACCACCGCACCTGGCAGTATTTTCTGATTTTTTTTTGATAATGAACATATATTTCCAATATAGTATATTAAAACAAGTTTTTCAGGTACAAAGTTTTTAAAAAGTTAACCAAGCACAACGGAAATTAAGTAACCCAACAGAGGCTCCTTCACATTTAAATGGTCACTCCACTTCCATGTAAGAGTATACTTAGGGAGTTAAGGTAAGCAGGGCCAGACCACATTAGAAGATAAAATAGAGGGAAGTAAATGAAAAGGCTCCAAGACTCTATATCAGCATTGTCCAATAATAATATAATGCAAGCCATAGTAGTCTTAAGTTTTCTAGTAATCTCATTTTTAAAAAGTACAAAAAAAATAGGTAAAACAGCCAGGCTCAGTGGCTTAGCCTGTAATCCCAGCGCTTTGGGAGGCTGAAGTGAGTGGATTGCCTAAGTCCACGGGTTCGAGACCCGCCTGGGCAACTTGTCGAGACCTCATCTCTCCAATAAATCAAAAAATTAGCTGTGCATGGTAGTGCGTGCCTGTAGTTCCAGCTACTTGGAAGGCTGAGGTGGAAGTCTAGCAGGTCGAGGCTGCGGTGGCCGGGAGCTTGCCACTGCACTCAAGTCTAGGTGACAAAGTGAGACTCCAACTCAAAAAAAATAAAATAAAATAAAATAAATAGGTAAAACAAACTTTAATGTTTTATTTAGCCCAGCATATAAAAATATTATCATTTTGACATGTAATTAATATTAAATAATTATTAATGGGTTATGTCACATTTCTTTTTTATACTAAGTTTTCAAAATTCAGTGTGTATCTTACATTTTCAGCACATTTCAAATTGGACTACTCATGTTTCAAGTGCTCAATAGCCATGTATGACTAGTGGCTATCACATTAAACAATGTAGTTCTAGATCATAGAGAATTATTGTAGCCTGTAAAAATTTCCAAGTAAGAGTTAGAGATGAAACTACCAAGCGGCCAAATATTTATGTTATTCAGTGAAAAAACTTTTCCCTTCTGGACAGAACTGGAGATGCCCTCACCCATTTTTTGTTTTGTTTTGTTTTTTTGAGTTGGAGTCTCACTCTGTCACCCAGGCTGGAGTGCAGTGGCACGCTCACAACCACCCCAGCATTAACCCACTGGGCTCTGGCGATCCTTCCACCTCAGCCTTCCAAGTAGCCGGAACTACAGGTGTGTGCTACTGCGCCCGGCTAATTTTTTATTTATTGTAGAAACGAGATCTTGCCAAGTTGCCCAGGCTGGTCACGAAGCCCTCACCCATTTTTACTGCTTGATTCTCCTTTTCTTTCTTTCTTTTTTTTTTTTTTGAGTTGGAGTCTCACTCCGTCACCCAGACTGGAGTGCAGTGGCCACTCCCGGCCACCGCAGCCTCACCTGCTGGGCTCTGGTGATCCCTCCGCCTCAGCCTTCCAAGTAGTTGGAATTACAGGCATGCGCTACCACGCCTGGCTGATTTTTTGTAGAGATGAGGTCTCGCTGCCCAGGTGGGTCTCGAACCCGCGGGTTCAGGCAATCCACTCACCTCAGCCTCCAAAGGCGCAGGATCACAGGCTGAGCCACCGAGCCCGGCTTGATTCTCCTTTTCTTAACTCTACGGACCATTCCCTTACATTAACACATTTTTCTTCCTTTTGGGTACAACGTCACTGGCATTTCAGTTTTTCCAAAACTCCATGATGCTCTATTTATAGATCATTACTTTAAAAGAATCACATTCATACAAGGGCAAATCTCACACCATTACATACTTTTTTTTTTTTTTTAATTCACTCAGAGGAAAACTTATCTGATATTCTTTGTGCATCAACAACAGGCAAAATATTAAATAAGATCATTTAATACTGAAGATCATTCATTCAGTTAGCATTTATTGAACACAGTTATAGGCAAAGGGAATATAAATATAATTATGATGTCTGTCTTTTACAGGGGAGGAAACTTTACAAGTCACCATTCAAATATCTTTTGAAATATGCTTGTTTCTTTTATAAAGTAATCATGTCTACTAGAGAAAGTTTGGAAGTTGGAGTGATTTAAAAAATATATATATATATGTAATGACCAGGCATGATAGTTGATGCCTATAATCCTAGCAGTTTGGGAGGTTGAGGTAGGAGAATCACTTGAGTCCAAGAGTTTGAGACCGGCCTGGGTAACATAGTAAGACCTGGTCTCTCACACACAAAAAAGCTGGATGTGGTGCTCCAAGCCTGTAGTCCTAGCTACTGGGGAGGCTGGGGTGGGAGGATCCCTTGAGCTATGAAATCAAGACTGCAGTAAGCTGGGATCACACCACTGCCTTCCAGCTTGGGTGACAGAGTGAGACTGTCTCTAAATAAATTAAATAAATAAAGATTGTGGAAAATTCGTAGAACATAAAAAATTATAAAGAAGAAAATTAATCATAATCCTACTACCCAGAGAGAGAACTACTATTGACATTTTGGCATATTTCTTTCCAGTCTTTTATCTCTGCTTTTATGACCATATTGTACATACAATTTTGGAGCTTTGAAAGCTGGCTTTGAATTCCCTGTACCCTTCTTTTTTTTGAGTTGGAGTCTCCCTCTGTCACCCAGGCTGGAGTGCAGTTGCACACTTACGGCCACTGCAGCCTCAACCTGCTGGGCTCAGGCAATCCTTCCACCTCAGCCTTCCAAGTAGCTGGAACTACAGGCAAGCGCCACCACACCTAGATAACTTTATTTTTTGTTTATTGTAGAGATGAGGTCTTGCCAAGTTCCCCAGGCTAGTCTTGGACCCCTGAGCTCATGCAATTCTCTCACCTTGGCCTCCCAAAGTGCTGGGATTATAGGCGTGAGCCATCGTGCCCGGTGCCTGCACACTTTTTTTTTTTTGAGTTGGAATCTCACTCTGTCACCCAGGCTGAAGTGCAGCTGCACACTTACAGCCACTGCAGCCTCAACTTGCTGGCCGCAGGCAATCCTTCCACCTCAGCCTTCCAAGTAGATGGAACTACAGGTGTGTGCTGCCACGCCCAGCTATGCACACTTCTAATTAGCTCGATGGCTTAGGCAAGTTTCTTCATTTCTCTAAGCCTTTTTTTCCCTTAAAAAAGGTTATGGTTTTGGAAATATTTTCTTCATAGAGTTGTTGCAAGAATTCAATGAGATAGTACATACAATAAGGAGTGGTACCTGTTACAAAATCAAGTGCTCCAGAAAAATAGGATCCAAAGGCATTTTTAAAAATCACATTTCCCTTAGTTAGCTTGCAAACATTAGGTACCAATAAGCCAATCAAATCTTGATTAGGTTAAGATCCGTATAAAAGACCTTTCTTCCAGGGAATGCAGTCATTTAGAGCTTGTCGTTGGTGCGCAACTTTAGTTCTCCCAGATCAGAAGCTGAGATGGCTGATGAAGTACTTTGCAGTGAAATTTTACGCGACTGTGACTCTGAGGTAAGGAATTGTGATAAAAAGTGAGGGGTGAGGGGAAGAGTGGGGTATGATGAGTCGCTTTTGATTTTTTTCCTAATAGGGATCTCCTCTTGTCCAAATACCCCTGCCGCAACCATGCTTGATTAACCATTTGATTGGGTTCATGTGAATCTGGCTTTCAAACCGTAGCTTGGTCTGCCTACAAAAATCCTTCTTGCAAACTTAGCACCGCCATTCCTTCATGTTTAGTAAGTTGTATAGGATCGCTACCAAAATGTGGCAGCCCTGCCTTCCAGGGCTGGGTCTCTTTGGTATGTTCAGCTCAGCAGTGCAGTTGGAACCTGCCAGGATAAATTACTCTGTGGTTTGGAGGAGAGCTTCTGGGCCGGGAATGCACTAAGGATGAAGGATGGCACCCAGATCCTCAAACCATGCATTTTTCAGTCAACAAACATCCAATAAGACACTGTGTGCTAGGCATATTGCCATGAGGTGGAGGTGCACATATAAATAGGATCCAGTCCCTCCTCTGCAGGCGCTCACAACCTGGCTAGAAAATGCCGCACAAAACCCTTAAGCACACAGTGGGGGTAGGTCCACTTGTCCCAAAGACAGGCTAGAGTTTGCAGTCCTCTGGTTGAAGAGAGAGCGTATGTAGAGACAGACTGGGTGCTGGTACACCCCCTATAGAGAGGGACGTGGAAGAAAACAGCATTCGCGAAGTAGCCACATCCTGGGGTGTCGAAGGCCACAGTAAGTGGTTTTGAGACTTAACCTGGGTAGCAAAGTGGAGCCAGTTTGGTAGCGGTCGGACTGGAGGTGTGACACGAAGCTGAGAGACCCATTAGGGGGCTGTAGTCAACATTCCAGGCAAGAGAAGGAACGAGGGAGTACAGGGCCTGCAAAGAAGGCCTATACATGAGGACAGGACAGGAGCCCGTGACAGGCAGCTCTGGGTTGAGCAATCCTTCCTGCTTTCTGGTTTGGGAGAGCTAGTGGATGGTGGTACCAATAACCTTGGGGAAAGTGAGTTCCCTCCTGGAACGCTCCACGCACAACCACCATATCCAGTAACATCCCGTCTACTGGCGCTTCCTGGTCAGGAGACCAGTTTCCAGAAGGCACCGCTCCGTTTCGACCCTCCCACTTCCCACAGCGCTCTAAAGTTGGCCAGCAGTAGTATCAAGATGGCGGCCCCCTAAAGCCTGACTAGTCATGTGACCCCAGGTTTCCCTAGTTTGCAGCCCGACAGTCCGTTCGGGGCCAAGGTTCATCTGTCAGGAAACGGGTGTCGCCCTTCGAATCTCGGGAGCCAATCGGCATCTGAGACTGGACCACCGCGGTGAGGCGCTTGGAAGATTGGCCCTTTCCAGTCGCCTAGCCAGAGGCCAATCACAGAGCGTCCTATACTGCGCGGGCCCGCCCTGAGGCGGGGGAGAAGCAGGAATGTCGTCACAGCGTGGCGGTATTGTTACCTAAGGGCAGGAGAGGAGGTGGGACGAGTGTTGATTGACAGTCAGGTTTCCCCTACCGGGATTTGAGAATTTGGTGCAGTACCCCGCCTTCGAGGTGGGGTCTCATTTGATTGCCAAGTGATATTCCCCAATGGGGTCCTAGCTCGTGGTGACGGGCAGGCCGCTTGACTAATGAATCCTCGGCGTGGCCGGCGCAGCTCTCCAATCGCCGGGCGGCGGGCCCCAGTCTGAGCGGCGATGGCGGCGGCGGCGG